GCCAACTCTTGGGCTACTCTTTTTCCAACGAATAGTGGGATTGACCGTCACATTATAACGCCCCCACGGTGTAACGGGGATTCGAACCAGCGACCCTCAGATTGCGAGTCGAGTGCTTTAACCACCTGGCCATGCCGGGTCTAGGTAAATAGTATAGCATATCCAATAATATACTTTACATACTCTTACAATTATCTGTCCTGAAATGATTTTACCATATCTAATATTACGTTATTATAAATATTGAATGAGACACTTACATTATTATTCTACAGCTGATTGTGTTTTTTATGACGTAGTACACATTTAATGTACTATAGTACAGTTTTGCTTCTATATTTAATTTGTTTTACATACTTTTTACAATTACTGTCCCAAAAAGGACGCTTATATAAATCTCTAAGTAATATAAAATAATTGAATGTTTAGCTTTATAAGTTGATTTGTTCTGCTAAATTTTAATGGATCTACATAAATAGTTATGTTTAACTATTATTCTTATGTTTTTTTCCGTAGATATTTTGACAAATCTTTGTCTAGAGCTCGCTTCTTGTTAGTTTTGAATTTTATGCATAAAACTTTGTCATTTTATAGTACAATTAATGCACACTTTGCGATACACACCACTACTGACAAGACCTTTCGCCCAGTACCTGAGCTCGTTGTGTTGGTTAGAAATGTATCAAAGTCTTGGTCAAAACACTACATCATTCATTAATGTGACATCATTTGTTACGGTATTTAACTTTAGGTGTTAGGAATCTGCACAAGACAATCGTTGCAGAAGCTTTAATTTATGCATAAGTTTATAAGTTGTACTCTAAAACTATAAAGTTTTATGCATAAGGTTTCAAGCTAGCGAGAAGCAATCTCTAGAGAAAAATATTTGAAAATATCTACAAAGAGGTAAGAATGGTAGTAATTAAACATAACTACTTATGTAGATCGCCCAACCACCACCCCAGCATCTAAGCCTTTGAATTTTAACACAAACCCCTCCCCAACAAAGAAAGAGATTACAAGGCCACTCAAACTCCTGAGAAATGGGAAAGTAGCAGGTCCAAATGGCATTCCACCAGAGGCACTGAAGACAAATGTCCCAATCACGACAGAGATGTTACTCCAGTTTTAGGAAGGTTTGGGAACAAAAATATATGCCAATGGAGTGGAAGAAGGGATACCTTGTGAAGTTGCCAAAGTGTGGCGACTAGCAAGGCATCATGCTGCTGTCAGTGCCTAGCAAAGTGCTCACCAGAGTGATCTTGGAGAGACTGAAGGTGGCCTTGATTGACAGACTCATAGATCAATAGGCAGGATTCTGTGTGGATAGATCATGCACAGATCAAATATCCATGCTCAGAATCATCATTAAGCAATTGAATGAATGGAAGACACCACTATACACTAACTTTGTGGATGTTGAAAAGGCATTCAACAGGATCGACATAAAATCAATCTGGAACGTACTCCAACACTATGGCATCCCAGAAATATTCGTGAACATCATCAGATAATTGTGCTAGGAGTCAACATACAAGTTCATACATAACAGAAAATCTCAGAGCTCTTTACGGTTCAGACTGGTGTCAGGCAGGAATGCTTGCTTTTGTCAATTATTTTCCTGATTGTGATCGACTGGGAGATGAGGCAGACTACCAAAAAACATAGACAGGCATCCAGTGTACAGTCATGAAGCACCTAGAAAATCTCAATTTTGTACATGATCTATGTCTCCTGTTACACAGGCAGCAGGACATGCAATCCAAGACCCAACGACTTGCTGATGAAGCTGAAAACTGGGCTACACATAAACATTAACAATACCAAGAGGATGAGAATCAACAAAAGACAAAAGGATCCAGTGCAGCTCAAAGGAGAGAGTATTGAAGAATTTGGGAAGTGTATGTGCCTTAGAAGAGATGGTAGCGCCCTCTGGAGCCACTATGTGGACGTAATAGTTTCTGGTGCGTGGGACTGTGATGTCATTGTCTCTACTACTCCCTCCTGAGGCAGTCAATCAACACTTGTGTCCATTGTGTTAGGGTAATTACTTACGTTATATTAAACCAATCTTGAATATACAAATCAAAAATGTCACGATACAGCCACAGCTGATTAAAAGTTACTGGGAAACAACATGTATCAAAACTATATTTTGACATTATTTGGTATTTGTAAGTCGTGTGATAACACCGAAAATTAATTTCTTTTGGGAATGGTATGTATGGTATGGTTCGAATCCCCGTCCCACCAAACTTGCTCGCCCTTTCAGCCGTGGGGGCGTTATAATGTGACGGTCAATCCCACTATTCGTTGGTAAAAGAGTAGCCCAAGAGTTGGCGGTGGGTGGTGATGACTAGCTGCCTTCCCTCTAGTCTTACACTGCTAAATTAGGGGCGGCTAGCGCAGATAGCCCACGTGTAGCTTTGCGCGAAATTCAAAACAAACAAACAAATGTAACAGCTCTTTCTGACATAAAATATTGATTCATTCAGATCATAAGGATGTGTTTAGATAGGAGATTTAGTTAGGAAATATCCCTTTTATTTAACGACATTAGAAAACAAAGGAATATGAGTCAACCTGGGGCACCAGGACCATCCATAAAGCGACCTGCAACAAGTCGTACTCTAGTTTTGGAAAGCAAAATGCGACGTCCTGTAACAGTTGAGAATCCATAAGCATAAAGGTCAATATTAAAAGCCGTCCACATGTTACAGGCAACAGTAAGCAACATAATAAAGAAGGGTCTTCAACTATAAACTAGGCCAACAGGGTATGGATTGAGCGAGATAAGACTTCCAGTTATATGTCATGCTGAGCCGTTATATACCTCAGGCAGCTGGAGTATTCATGTTATTCCACACAAGGATATAACAGTCAAGTCATCAGTCACAGTGTCTTTGCGATAAGACTGTTGATTTAGGAGCTGTAAAAGCGTCGTCCTTGTACGCTAATTTAATTATGGAAAGTCAACAGGGAGAAGATGTGTGTTTTGGGCATAACAGATTTACGAAGGAGACTTAACAATGGGGAAGTTATGAGCGGGCATTGCAACATGGACTGCAGCGATGTGGTGAGGCTCCAAAGTCGTTTAATTATGATGTACTCAACATCTGTTTTCTATTCAATAACAGGATTATTTGTCTTCTTTTATCGATTAATGACAATTAAACTACGATTGTACATACTTAATCATCGTGTAACAACTGCAAAAATTATTTGTAATAAGATCACCAAAAATAGATTATAATCAGTTTTAATTAACATTAATGTGTGTTACGCAAGACATACGGACTTTTATTGGTATAGAATATATCATTAAATGTGTACAGCAAAAATAAAGGATCTTTTGAAAACATATCAGCATTATCAAGAGTTAACCTCAATTTGTGTCACAGGTTTTAATCATTAAGTTTTTAATTAGGTATTTTGATAACACTAAAACAGAGTTGAAAAAAGACATCAGAAGTGTTCTTTCATCAACGAATCTTTAACTAGAACATACGTTTCTTGGGCCATTCAGTTACTGAGCGTCACCTTATGTACACGTTGGAAAAACAGTCAGGTCAGAGGTCCTTATGACTCAGTTAAAACCATCGCTAATTTTGAACTACTGATCAGAAGGAAGGCATCCAGCAACACTCGCTGCCATAAGGACTTTCTTCGGTTCTTTGAACCAAATAACGGAATTGACTATATTTTTTATAATGTAATCTCAGCTGAAAGTGCGAAGCGTGTTCAGCGACACTATCTCCCGAATCCAAGACCTTGCGACCTACAACCCGTAAAGCTATCCACTAGACCCTTATTCTTATAGCTCAGTGTTCAAGATTCAATAAAATATTTATAATTTTAAGCGAGTGGTTTAACTTAAATACAAATTACAGACTCAGAAGCATTTTTAAATTTCAAGATTGTGTTTACTACTATTTTATACAGATATTGATGTTTTCACCACGACCATTAGATACAGTTCGATAAAGTTTAACACTCTGTTGTTTCCCATTGGTGACCCGGCATGGCCAGGTGGTTAGGGCGCTCGATTCGCATTATGAGGGTCGCGGGTTCGAATCCCCGTCACACCAAACATGCTCGCCCTTTCAGCCGTGGGGGCGTTATAAAGTGACGGTCTATCCCACTATTTGTTTGTAAAACAGTAGCCCAAGAGTTGGCGGTGGGTGGTGATGACTAGCTGCCTTCCCTCTAGTCTTACACTGCTAAATTAGGGACGGCTAGCGCAGATAGCCCTCGCGTAGCTTTGCGCGAAATTCAAAAACAAACACACAATCATCTGTTCTCCAGGCAAACGACGAACACAAATCCTACCATCAACTCTAACAAGCTAGAAACAGGACTCATCTGAACAGATGACACGTTGTCAGTGTCCTAACAGCAAGTTGGTATGCCATCCATTTTCTCCACACACACCTAGTGATAGTAAATGATAGTAACTCAGGTTAATTCGCATCCATTTTCTCTACCAGAAAGTGTAGTAGCAGTGATAAAACACCTTACCTTTACTTTACCGATAAATCCGAGACTCATAGTAAGTATCACTAGAACAGCTGATACATCAGGGTTGGAATCAAATCCTGGTATACTGATGACACCTAGTGGCTGGTTTAAAGTGCGAAAAAGACTGCCGTTCGTCACTACATCAATATACTGACTCCAAGATTTAGCCGCTAGGGCAGCACCAAGTGTGTATTCTAATACCATGCCCCAACCGATAACAAAGGCACAGAACTCTCCTGTTGTGGCATAGGTATAAATATAGGCAGAGCCACCTAGCGGAAAACGGGTTGCGAGTTCGGAGTAGCAAAGTCCTGAAATATTATACACATATATAATCACATCGTGAAAAACAATAACAACTTAAAACGTCCAATCATCACTTATATACAAATACATAAGGGTAATTGCACTTTATGTAACAGGGTTCCATGCTATCCTTTCAACTAATTCTTCCATTGTTGTGATTACAGTCTCACTGCTATCTTTCTTATGAAAACAGCCCCTGATTTTGAGATGTGTGGCTGTATGCTTATGAATTTCTGAATTGTAATTTCGGTCATTTTGATATCCTTGTTCATTATTTTGTTTTTGGTACAAAGAGGCCTAGCTTCATTACACTATTTTTGTTTTGTTTTTTAAGTAGGGAGATTCTGTTTCGTAAACATAACATTAACATTATGAACAAGGGGATTGTTCTGGATTAGTGCGATTTTAAGACATATTGCTGTGCTAAAAACTGTTCGTTAAAGTTTCTCTGCTTCAATAGTGAATATTGAAGGGCTCTTTTCTTCTAAATATTATGATTTTTGACTTTATACTGTTTTAACAATCTCATTATACGATTGTTATTCTTCGAAAAGGGATGGTAGATAACTGTTACAGGAATTTCACCGTCGAATGGTTGGGGATTAACTATGAACCAAATATATAGATGTTAAACATGTCTCCGTTATGTCACAGTTCGTATCTGCAGCAACTTGCTACTGCATGATCACATATAAATTATTAAGGAGCAATTAACCATAAGTTAAATCTTAAAGAATTATTTTTTTTCTCTCTATGCCATTCTGATGGTAACCTTTCTAGGGTTTAGTAGGATTGTTTAGGTCTGTAATTTTGTATGGTTCCATTACATATTTAATACGTAAGACATGATTTACTACCATGACATTATTATTATGAACTTTATACAGCCAATGGCGTTCCTGTTTATCATATAATCTATACAGTACTACTGACATTTCTACTCATCACATAAACTGTATACTAACGTCAATGTTTTTTTAATCACATAAACTGTATACTAACGTCAATGGTTTTTTTTAACCACATAAACTGTATACTAATGTCAATGTTTTTTTTTAACCACATAAACTGTATACTAATGTCAATGTTCTTTTTAACCACATAAACTGCATATTTCCATAGGGTTTCTACTTCCCACATAAACCAGCAAATCCTACTTTTCTCCTTACTAATGAATATACCACTTACCAAAGACTCACATTTTCACTTACCAGAACACCTATTTCTACATTACTAATCAAAGTGCTCCTTACCGACCAAAAATGATGACACTGCAGCAAGCAGATAAGACAGCACTATAGCTGGGCCTACGTGAGTTCGTGCGGCTTCCCCCATGAGACAGTACAACCCTATTCCTAATACTGATGCTAGGCCTACAGTGGTTTGGATTCAAGGTGAAAAGCATTAGAATATTTTGTTTTTGAAGATAATGATCGTAAAACATCGAAATTCAAAGTTAGCTAAACTAGAGATGATAAACAGATATCATTCATATCATTCTTTAAAGAATAAAAGTCATATCACTTTTATTATCTTGATGGTAAGTAAATCTTGCACACACTATCTTCATAAATAATTATGGCCGGCACTATCTCAAAAATAATATATTTTTTAGTTTACTTAAACGTACGGAGACAAGACCTTCTGTTTTTGATTATAAATTACCCAACGTTTTTAGAGCTTATCAATTCTCCTCATGCCAAATGATGTAGCTTTGATATGCTAGTCTACATTTTAAATTACACCAACCAGTAACGTCAGAATCAAAAGACATTAAGAGCTGTTAGGTGAAAAACGATCAAGAGGGTGATTAAACCAAATTTTTCATTTTGATTAACAGTATGTTTCTTTTTCAAGATGGGCCAGTTTTCAAGAGATAGCCATTTTAAAGAAGAAATAGATGTAGTTTGCCAGTTAATATCATGAAATGAGTCATTAGCATGTTCAGTTAGAGCTGAAAAAGAAGTAACGCCCAACATCAAGTCTTTTGTTGTTGTTGTTAACTTAGTGAAATTTATCACATTATACAAGTATGATCAGGTATATTAGAGTTACTGACTAGTTACATACAATAAACGATATTTTTGTAGCTCTTAAATTGTCTTCTCTCTTTTTCTAGATTAGCATTAAATGTTTGACGTAATATTTCTATGAGTTACTTTCAAATCGATTACAAGAATGGCAGCGAAATGATGTTAAGGCAATAGGAAAAGTAGACTAGTGTGTGTACAGGCTGTTCTAATAACAAAACCTACAGCAGTTGAAGCAGTAAGAAAGTAGTCTTATGTGTTTTCAGACTGTTGTGGATCCTAGAATTGGGATAGTTTTGATTGATTCTGGGAAAAGTTTTATATTTATGGTTATGTATAAATATTTAAAGATGTCAATTATTTTACAAGGTATTTTTATCCTGAATTAGTTATCGATCTACGGTGTCTTGTGAAATATAGAACGTATAAAGAATTGTTTTTTCAAGGGATTTAATTACTACATTATCCATTATTTTACAAGATATTTTTAACCTGAATTAGTTATCGATCTACGGTGTTTTGTGAAATATAGAACGTATAAAGAATTGTTTTTTTTCAAGGAATTTAATTACTGAACGTTATTAGTTTTAGGATAATGATATGGAAATTGTAAATATACATATATATATATATGTACTCGAAAAACTAGAATTATTATAGACTCGTTTTGAAACGACCAATAGTTTGTTCGGAATGCGAGCCCATACTTTTCACTAAAAATGAATACATGGACTAAAATTATTAAAGTGAAAATAAGGATTCACAACATGAAACTCAACAAAGCACTTCTATTCATTATTATCTGCAACAAAAGTGGCTGTAACCTCTGCTGTTAAATCTCTTTCTTAAAAATAAAACTGGTGATAAGTGAACAAGTATTCCAAAGAATTGGTCACAATTGAAACACGTACGTCACCTTTAACTCAGTTTAACTCAGTCTTTAGTAACTGCGTATGCTAAGCCAAGAGAACTGAAGGCAAACAAAAAAGGGATGTCAAACAACAACTTATATATATATAAAACTTCTGAATTAGTGTATTTGTTCAACAATATATAAGATAACGTTTGGGAATTATAAACACAAAATTCAGTTATATTAGTTGAAAGTGAACCACAATTAGAGCTTAAAGGTGATACTATGATGAAAAGTGATTTGGTAAAAGATATAATTGGTCTTTCAAGTAAAACAAATTAATGGGTTCTAGGTTACTCATTAACATTTGTGGTTATATCATCAGAACTATAGCTAACAGTAAAGCAAAACAAAATACAAGTGGAATAAACAAAGCTTCTTAAATCACATTAAAAACCATATGAAATTAGGTAACATCTGGTATGTTTTTTCTATAACAGTAATGTTTTTAAAGTTCTTTTTCTAGAGATTATTTCATTTTAGTTTTCAAAAGTTTTAGTAAACTATCATTACAGTGACCTTTTTCTACACACGCACACCGAGCGTAAAAACACTATTACATTTCTTTTTTAGATCTCTCAAAGTAAATCGGTTAATTACAGCGGAGCCAATGAGTACATATAAGAATGGCCTCTCTTTAATGGAGTCCACAAAGTTTTATCTCGTTAAATTTGAATGGCAGTTTCTACGGATGAGCAAATGTCAGAAGGTGAAATTTTATTAACATTCATTGTAACATTAGGCTATCTGTGTACGGTGTCATGAATATTTTGCGATAAGATGTTAATAAATCAAGTTGAAAGTTAGCTAAACTGTGTGTAAAACTAAGCCTTTAGAGCAATGCTTCGGTTGTGTAAAATCCCCAGGTTTCGTTCTCTGTTGGTTGAATTTAAATTGCATAAATTTCGGTAATAAGTCAAGGACTTCATGTTGTTGATTAAAATGTAAATAATTTTCAGAATTGACGAGTTTAGATTGGTTGAAAACATATCCTTTAACAAAACTAAGAGTTTCTTACTCGTAATGCCTTTCTACAAATGAAAACATTTTGCTGAAAAAGTTGAAGGAAAACAAAACTTTAAGGATGTCAAGGGCAGTTGGAATTAAAACACGGGTTTATAAACAATGCTTGAAAGTACAAAAATTAAGTTTTTATGTTTTTTTTTAAATATTCAATTAAAAAAGATAATTTTGTTGGTGTTTAATTTTATATTTATATGTATATCCATGTCTTAGTATATATCAACGAATCTGTATTCTTAAAAAGAACGTAACATCAGTGCGGTTGTTCACAATGTATTGTATATGTATATATATATATATATTACTCTTATTATCTCGATAGCAATTAATCTTATATTCGCAGGGATATGAAATTAGTACCGTTATTAACAGAGCACTTTAATGATGTTATCTCAACAGCAACTATAAGTAATATATTAAACACAGAGCATTACTGCTTGTACAACAAAGGCGAGATGATATCAATGACATATTATAGTTAAGGTCTCGCGAATAAATAGCATTAATTTGATTGTTCATATTCTTGATATCTCCTGAATCGAATCTTATCTTATATCTTCAAGAAACAGATTAGAGTCATTGTTCTTATATACTCTTGATGATTAAAACATTATACAATCTCCATCGCAGTTAACCTTAAGGAGCAGAACCCGAGTTATTGTACAATTATCGTACAATTAATCACCTAATTGTCCATTTACAAGTGCTAATTTATCGTAGTTTCTCATACGCACTTACATAAGATGTATAAAGAGACCTCAGAAAACAAAGTCAATTGTCATATACCAGATAATTTTTATATTTCTTGAAAGCGATCACTATAGCTCGAAGGTTATCGTACGTTAAACACGTCCGTCCTATATTGCACAGTTACCTGATGTATAATAACGTTGTATTCAGGTAAGGTTACTGTACTTTAACAACATCCTGTATAACAGAGTTACCTGATGTATAACAACGTTGTATTCAGGTAAGGTTATCATACTCTAACAACATCCTGTATAACAGAGTTACCTGATATATAACAATGTGGTATTCAGGTAAGGTTATCGTACTTTAACAACATCCTGTATAACAGAGTTACCTGATGTATAACAATGTGGTATTCAGGTAAGGTTATCGTACTCTAACAACATCCTGTATAACAGAGTTACCTGATATATAACAATGTGGTATTCAGGTAAGGTTATCGTACTTTAACAACATCCTGTATAACAGAGTTACCTGATGTATAACAACGTTGTATTCAGGTAAGGTTATCGTACTCTAACAACATCATGTATAACAGAGTTACCTGATGTATAACAATGTGGTATTCAGGTAAGGTTATCGTACTCTAACAACATAGGATGTTGTTAGAGTACGATAACCTTACCTGAATACATCATTGTTATACATCAGGTAACTCTGTTATACAGGATGTTGTTAGAGTACGATAACCTTACCTGAATACATCATTGTTATACATCAGGTAACTCTGTTATACAAGGTATAACAGAGTTACCTGATGTATAACAACGTGGTATTCAGGTAAGGTTATCGTACTCTAACAACATCCTGTATAACAGAGTTACCTGATGTATAACAATGATGTATTCAGGTAAGGCTATCGTACTCTAACAACATCCTGTATAACAGAGTTACCTGATGTATAACAACGTGGTATTCAGGTAAGGTTGTCGTACTCTAACAACATCCTGTATAACAGAGTTACCTGATGTATAACAACGTGATATTCAGGTGAGGTTATCGTACTCTAACAACATCCTGTATAACAGAGTTACCTGATGTATAACAATGATGTATTCAGGTATACTGATTTCCAACAGAAAAGTATCAAGTTTTTGTAACAAACAGTAGATTCAGGAAATGTTAGGCAGAGAACAAATCGAATACGAACGACAAAGGAAAATAAATAAATAAATAAATAGAATCTTTCTTCATACGACAACAAGCGATATTGCGGTATTTTACCGAGACTGACCGACTTCTGTATTAAAGACTGCTGCTAGCTGCTGGAAGAGGTATGAAACACGTCTATACAAGATGAAGGCAGTAGCAAGAATAATCATAATAATTTTTCTTCAATTCAAACAAAAGTTCTAATGCGGTATTCCACATTCGTAGAATACCTACGTGAACCATCATTCCCATCTACATTCAAGGTTAATAAACCTTACGTTTATGCAAATATATTCAACTTTCTGAACCTATTTAAAAGAGTACTGTCACATTCAAGAAGTACATAACAAAAAACAAACAAACAGAATCAAGCAAATATAAGCTTTACTAAACAATCGTTTTGGTATGTAGCGTTTGTCTAAGCTAGAGGATTGACGCAAGTTTACGACCATTCGCATCCATTTTGTAACGACGCCAAATGACTATACGCAGAATACCTGCACGGAAAAGTTTGAAAAAATTACTTGAATATATAGATAGTTTCTTCTTATTTATGGAAGGTTTAACTATAGCAATTCCTTTAACAGTAAAAATGGCTTGTAGCAATAACAATGTGGTACTCGGATAAAGTTATCGTGCGTTAATATCCTGTATAGCAGAGTTACCAAAGTAAAGATATTATTCAAATAAAACCTCAGGTGTGTGTTTTATTACTACTTAAAAGGTCCAATAAGTCAAATAAATATACTCATCCAGAAAAAGAGTTTTATTTCCCTTTGCTGAAATAAGTAGTGCCTATCCATCTTTCATATTTGATAAATCGATTGAATATTCATGTATTAAATTTTACATGGTAGATAGATACTTACCTAGACAAGTCACATCCACGATGGACAGACATCGATGGACCCGTCTTCCTCCGTCTCCTGGGTTACACGACATGTTTCTTCTGGACAGTGTCCTCCACACTGTTGTTAACACGTTATTCATGATGAAAAGATGTCTCTAATAAGAGAAGATAATTACAGGTGTGAATATGTTCTCATGGTTGTTTAACAAGGTGAGAAAGGAGAGGATGATTTGATGAGTCTGTGCAGCTTTTATCGCATCGTAAATAGTCTTTGTCTTAGCTGTATGTTGCTAACCAATTACCTATTAAATCGCAGTTTATCTAACAATAGACCTTCTGGACAATAGCCCTTAGATCAGTATATCTTCTGGTTAACTTTCCTCCTATCAATTAACCATTAATGTTAAATATGTTCCAAAAGAGTATAACAACTGTAAGTATTCTAACAGAAAACGATCACTAAACCTAGATGTAAAACAGCTATTGGTTACTACTGACCATCTGTCAGCATGTAAGTGAACAATGAATAGCCATTAACTAAATATAAAAACGACTAGCAGTTATTGGCTTGGCATGCTTAGTACAACTGCTGTAAGAAATGTTTAAACCAAAGATCCAATAACATGATAACTGTATAATCTACTGAAATGAACGTAATTGCTACTCAAATTAATACGTAAATTGTAACTACAATCTCTAAACATTAAACAGCCATGACTGTAACTGATAGATTTGTATTGTCTAAAATTATTCGCTATTAAATGAATTGAATAATAAGACTGTATAGTTACTAAACAAACTTGAATAGCAGAGAAAGATAACCACCAACTTAGATAGCCAAAAATTTATATTAGGTATTTAAAACTGTTCTTATATACGACATAAGTACATTTATCCAATCGTCAAGTTTCAGTTCTAAATCGCAGCACGAGTTGTCACTTGAATTCAATCAACTACACGAGTGAAACAAGCTAGATGGTGTGTGTTCACCAGGTAGAGTTTCACTGCATCGGATATATTCGCGCATGCGCATGCTTACAGTTTATGAAGACTAGTACGAGTATTTAGTATTAGAAAGGGCTTTGTTAAAAAATATAGTATAGGTTTGGTTGTAGAAGAAGAGTCTGTTTTTAATTCGTTGACATACCACTAGAACACAAAAAAACAATAGGAATTTAGCCTTTACACACACACACACAAAATTAATTATATTTAAAACATTACAGATATTTAGTCTGCTCACGTATATTAAAATCCTTCACAACCTTTAGAATTATAATAAACACGTAGTCTGTGAATGTAAGACAAAAATCTTGATTTTGATGTTTTAAAACATTTTACCTATCAACATACACAGTAAACTTACTTGTCTCTAATCTATATTATGTTAAAGTGAGAACAAATTCTTATTTACCTCTATTCTAGAGTTATAAAACAGCCTGTTAAAGTGATAACAAATTCTTACTTACCTTTATTCTAGAGTTATAAAACAGCCTGTTAAAGTGAGAACAAATTCTTACTTACCTCTATTCTACAGTTATAAAACAGCCTGTTAAAGTGAGAACGAATTCTTACTTACCTCTATTCTAGAGTTATAAAAACAGCCTGTTAAAGTGAGAACAAATTCTTATTTTCCTCTATTCTAGAGTTATAAAAACAGCCTGTTAAAGTGAGAACAAATTCTACTTACCTCTATTCTAGAGATATAAAACAGCTTGTTAAAGTGAGAACGAATTCTTACTTACCTCTATTCTAGAGTTATAAAACAGCCTGTTAAAGTGAGAACAAATTCTTACTTACCCCTATTCTAGAGATATAAAAACAGCTTGTTAAAGTGAGAACAAATTCTTACTTACCTCTATTCCAGAGTAATAAAAACAGCCTGTTAAAGTGAGAACAAATTCTTACTTACTTCTATTCTAGAGATATAAAAACAGCCTGTTAAAGTGAGAACAAATTCTTACTTACCTCTATTCTAGAGATATAAAAACAGCTTGTTAAAAGTGAGAACAAATTCTTACTTACCCCTATTCTAGAGATATAAAAACAGCATGTTAAAGTGAGGACAAATTATTACTTACTTCTATTCTAGAGATATCAAAATAGCCTGTTAAAGTGAGAATGAATTCTTACTTACCTTTATTCTAGAGTTATAAAAACAACCTATTAACATGAGTACAAACTCTCACATAACTCTAAAGGTATAAAAAAAATAAAAAAAACAGACCGAACAATATTTTCAGTGTTTCTTAGATGCGCCTGAAGTTTTGCGATCTGCCAATAACCAGGTCAGGGCAATACTGACTAAACATTTGCTTCATTTAGAACATAACTTAAGTTCTAGAGTCTTACTCTGAAACAAACAATTAGTAAGTTGGTTTTCAACTGTCTTCTTAATATTTTCTTTAGTATTAACCGTATAATATCAAGTATACCAACTGTACAAACCGTATAGTAACTTTTGTCCCAACCTGTATATATACATAGAAACTCGTACTTGCCTGTAGAAATGGGGGAGAGGACAGAAAAATTGTCTGTTAAAACGTATGTGAAAAAGGTACTAAGTAGTGTCTAGATATCATAGGAAGATATAAAGAATTTGAGATATTTTGTAGATTTCGCACGTGGGCCACAAATTGTACATTAACAAGTAGACTTAGGCCCTAAAAACGTAAGTGTAGCAATTAAGGTACACAGCAGTGTAATTGTATATTCGTACATACATAGGTAAATACTTAATTTATGTACATTCAGAGGTTATATGAACTAGTAAATATATCATTTTATAACATTAAGAAAACTGAAGTCAAATCTTTCAAGCTTTAAAACAAGGAACGTTATCGGAGCTGCACATTTCTTGTTTCGCAGGTGTTCACGTTCTCAAAGCCAAACGTTGCTGTGGCATTGGCATAGAAAAAAAAATCTATTTGTTATCCTATAAAACCTTATGTTTCTCATAAAACAAGCAGAGAAAATGTATGAATCTATATTTTTTAGAACTTCCATTTTCTGCAATAAGTCCTTTAAGAAAAGATACGTCCTTACTTTCTTGCAAGATTTAAGAGATACGAGTAGTATTGTTTTTCTTATAAGACCTATTATCTATTGAGCTGCACTGTTCAGAATGGAAATAGTTGAATATTGGGTAAAATATTTTATTTATTTATATCACTTCAACCTTTGTACGTTTGTAAATTTTCTGAAGCATTTGTCTGATCAAAAGCTACGTATTTGATCCATTGTTACAGCTATCTAATATTACGATCTAATGTAGCCTAGAAATCGCACTAACATGGTGTAATTTATCTGTGTTACTTAAAATAACGCAACACATGGTTCATATTATCTGTATTATTTATATGTCATAGAACATGGTGAACATTATCTACATTATTCAATATGACGTAACATATAGACATGGTACAAGTATCATTTAATTTGGGTTGGTGAGTGAATTGATCACGTTCCTATGTATTTAGCTATATTATTGTATAGACATTTGATGGAAAAATAATTGTATACAAATACGGAAATGTTGTATAAATAATTATTTCACTCACCATTGGTATTTTAAAGGAATTTTCAGTTGTTCAACGTATATCAATAATTTGAGTATTGCCCTGTTTCTGGTCACTGAAGAACGAGTGAAGAAGTAACTTATTTGAACCAAAATCCCAAGAAATACGAAACGCACTTTTGTGACCATATCGTTTCTGACAGTGAATTGTTTGGATTGACTATTATGCTCTTAGCTACAGCGACTGTAGATAGTGTTTATTTTGTTGTTATTTTTCTTGAGAATAACAAATAATCTTACTATTGACTTTTTGGATATGTGAAGTCACACATATTTGTTTTGCTTGTATTGTTCAGGTTTGAAAATATTCCAAAAAACACAGAGGAAATTAAAAAGTATGTATACACATTAGCCGAGACATATTCTCATTAATTAAAAAAAAATGCTACATTTATGGAACATATTTGTGCATTTCAGCGTCACAAGACGTAGCTTTAGGAACAAAATATTTTATCAGATAATTAGTTGTTGCACATTAATTTGATATAAAGAGCGTTTTATAGTTTTAGTGGAAGACTATCTAATGGAATAATTATGTAGTTACACATATCTGAAACCAGACGGCTGTCATCGTAAAGTACGAAATATCTTAGAAAACAGATTTGTACTGCATTGAAATTAATATATTAGCCAGTAAAATGTAACTGTAGCATTGCAAGACTATTAACAGTATCAAGCTACAACATGTTAAATTACTTTTTTATGAATTATGTGAACAGGTTCGTTGTTTCAGAATCCTACATCAAAAATAAGATTAGAATGTCTTAAAGCTGAGCATAAAATGCGTATAAAGGCAGAAGAGCATCTCAACTGTAACAGTAAAGCTTTCTTTAAGAACCTAAATAAAATGTAAGAGTCATGTTTCTGTTTTAGAACTGCACATCAAATGAAAGCGTAGAGGCTTAATTTCAGGACCGTACCTCAAATTGAATAGTAGAAGTTATGTTTTAGGACTGTACCTCAAATGTAAGAGTGAAGGTTATGTTTTAGGACTGTGCCTCAAATGTAAGAGTGAAGGTTATGTTTTAGGACTCTACCTGAAATATAAGAGTACAACTTTTGTTTTAAAATCGTACCTCAAATAAAAGGGTAGATGTTTTGTTTTAGGACTCTATCTGAAAGGTTAAGAGTAAAACTCTTGTTTTAAAACTCTATCTGATATTTAATAGTAGAGATTTTGTTTTAGGACTCTACCTGAAATATAAGAGTACAACTTTTGTTTTAAAATCGTACCTCAAATGAAAGGGTAGACGTTTTGTTTTAGGACTCTATCTGAAAGGTTATGAGTAAAACTTTTGTTTCAAAACTCTATCTGATATTTACTAGTAGAGGTTTTGTTATCTTCATTGTAGAACTGCACGTCAAATGTAAGAATAGAAGTTTTGTTTTTGAGTCACTAATCACTTATAAGAGTATAACTTTTGTTTTAGAAACTGTTCATCAAATTCAAGAGTAAATTATTTTTACAGACAGTATATATATAATGTGTATATAAAGTTTTTGATTTAGGATAGT